CTCTTTCATGTAACGTTTGACCAACAATTTGCTTAATATAAATAATCATAACTTGTAACTGATGTTGAAATACATGAGAGGCACAAGATGCCTTTGAAATACAGTAGCTTTTTATTTGGATATCTCAGTATGGTGCAGAAAAATTAGTGCTCCTATTGATCCTAACATGTCTCAGAGACATACTGGAGCCTTTCAGGGGCCTCAGTGACCTTTTTGGATGAGGTGCACAGCAGGGTTTACTTGCTTTTATATTTACTCAGTTGAATCAGTTTTGAGATTAAAACAGGATTGATCCAATCATGTGATTAGGATTTAGGAGGAAATAGGTCTCCAGATTAGATACACAGAAAACCTAGGCATCATGGTGCAAAAGACTGCTCCCTAGGGTTCTCTGGGAATGTCACCTCAAGAATCAGGACCTTTGCACAAGGACCTGGGAGACTGCAATGCCTTTGGTTTCTCTTCTCCCTATATTGCTAATTCATATCTGTATGCAGTTACAAGATGACCAAAATATTTTGGATATAAAGAGGCAGAGCCTCTGCATGTAGTGTTCATTGTGCAGTTGTGTGGGACCAGACTCATTGGCCCAGCTAGTCTTGTGCCATCTTTCTATATAACATTCAGTTACCTAAGGTTTGAATATTTATCTAAATCTGAGTGAGAGAGGACCAGCACTATATTTTGTTCAAGTTAGCATTTCTTCATTGGTATCAGTGGCTCTCTCCACATCAGACCAGATGAAAACTGGACACTGCACTGTATTTATGAGTGGGTGGTCCATCTTTTATCTTCCTATCTCACAGAGGCTCAAAGACTTGAAGAATCTTAATGCTCTAGGAAATGGGATCGAACGAGTCTTTTGTTGAGAAAATAGCCAACAAAATGTTAGTAAGAGGCAAAGCATTTTGCTGCTTCCTGTGTAGAGATGACCTCTGAGGAGCGGGGTAGATTTTAGGAATAAGGTGAGCAGATTTGCATTTAAGTTGACAAAGAATTATTAGATAACAGTTCACTGAAAATCCTCAATGTGCTACCATACTTCAATTATCTCATCCAATTTGAAAGAAGGGTAAAACCAATGTTATGTGGATGCCTGCTGGGTTGTCTTTTGCAGTAGTCTGCTTTCTACTAGACAGGACTGAAAGAAACCTTCTTGTTCTAAAAAAGTCAACATCCTTCTGTAGTTAGGGACTGTTTTTATTCCAGAAAAGAGTATTCAACTGGGCAAGTTACAGATCAGAAAGCACCTGAGCCCAGTGGTCAGCATAAAGCCAAATGAAGACATGCAGTCAGTGGGTTCCATGTGAGTGGGTGAACTACAAACTGTTTGTAATTTGAGTGCAGAATAGAGCAGGATTTTAGGCTTCCCCTGAGGGGCTGAACAAGTCCACCAGACCTCTCAATCCTCCATTTAAACCCTTGTAATGCACATCAGATTTCACTGGGGGCCTCATTAAAAAAAGAGATTTGCCCTAGGCATCAAATAAGTGTTTTGGCTTTGCCCTCTTGTTTTATTTAGGCCTGGTTGCTGTGCTGGCTCTACATCATTAGAAAAATATGTAACCTCTAATGAGTTCCCGGATGATACTCTGAACTTCATCAAAACACATCCACTGATGGACGAAGCTGTACCTGCCATTGTCAATCGACCGTGGTTCCTGAGAACAATGGTCAGGTATGTACCTCCAAGTGGACTCTTGTCCTCATCGTAGCTGTCAAATTCTGCTAATAGTTTTGCGTAGAATACGCTCAAACACTGTAAATATCCTCAGTGCGCTGGGCATGCCTCCAGCTAGGAATGATGGCAGTACTGAGCAGATGCTGCAGAGCTCCCTGAGCAGTATTCAAGACAGGAAGAATCCTCAGTCCTTTCCAGCCATTCTGTGCTGAAACAGAATCTTGGAGGAAGTGCTGTGCCGGGAAGGTTGACCTGCCTGTTGGCTTATGGGTCAGTGTTTGAGACAGCTCAAACCAAAGAAAACTTTGGGTGAGGATCAGGAGACAGCCCAAGGATATGTACACAGGATACAAACATGCCTAACAGGATATGTTCACAGGATATGAAGATGTCTGTCTGAGTATGTACTGGTATGTTTTAATGTTTACAGAAGTGTACGGGCAGAAGTAATCACATTATCTTTATCCTTTCTATAGCAACGAGACAAAAATAATAATGAAGACATTTGAACAAAGACCCATAAATCAGCAAGCCTCAAATACACCATCCCCCTTCTATCAAAATCCTTTCCCACTCTCTTCTGCGGTCACTATACTAATCTACTCTCTAGTTGTCAACAGAATAATATGACTAACTTTTGCTGTATTTTCCATTCTTCCTCAGTGTTTAGCTGTGGAAGGGTCTGACTCAGTTTTACCAGTGTATTTTCTGTCAGGCTTTTTTGTCAAGTTCTGTACCTCCAACCACAGACAAGCAGCAAGCTCTGCAGTGCACTTCCCTTTGATAACCATTGCTGGGTAACTGCATCTAAATCAGAAGAACTCATTTGCAATAAATAGTTTCATGCCAAGATTCAATATCATCTCACCACTGAACTCACTTAGACGCAGTTGTGTGATTATTTTTAGTGAAGTAAAATGGTGTTTAGTGTCTCCTTATTGCACTCACACAGCTTTTCCTGCCAAAAAAGTTGAATTTGTATCAGTTATCCTTATTTCTTTTTTTTTAATGTGACAGAGCTTGAAATTAATCAAACATTTCACTGTACTGATTTTCTTTCTCTATCTGAAGAAATTACCAGGCTAGTACTTTGCTTTTGATCAAATGGATAATTCCTAAATGGCCCCAGACTCTTAACACCCTTTCAGCTTTCCACGAACACTTCTACTAGCTATTGGACATACTGACATGCAGACAAACAAAAACAATTTTCTCACCATTTGGGGGGCCAAACTGGTACCGTCTGTCTTGACTTAACGGGTTATTAAGTTAGGAGAAGTGCTTAAATATGTTATATGGTTGCTAGAAGGCTAACATGCAGTTATCTGCAGAAAAAAAGTGGTAAAATAAATGGCAGTCTAATCCCAAGTGATGCAAAGTGATGCAAGTGATGTGTTGTTGTTCTAGATACCGCCTGACCAAAATTGCCGTGGATGCTGCTGCTGGGCCATATCAGAACTACACGGTGGTTTTCTTGGGATCAGAGAAGGGAATCATCCTGAAGTTTTTGGCACGGACAGGAAACAGTGGTTTCCTAAATGATAGCCTTTTTCTGGAGGAGATGAACGTTTACAATCCTGAAAAGTGTGTATCAGATTCTTTGTCCTCATGTATGGGCAACTTTGAACTTCCAATTTCCCAGAGTGTAGATTGGCCCACGAAAAGGGAAGTCCTTAGAGAAGCCAAGTTTTTTGAGTAATTTTAAATTGTTTGGGGAGGGGATGTCTGCTTATCAGTCTCTACATCACACTAAGGTGTTTTTTGTTGTTTGGTTTTTTTTAATTCAGCGTGTGTAGAAAATAGTCCATCCTATACAGCAGTTGATTATTATTTTAAAATGAAATTCTGCAAAGGAAGATTGATTTCCTAATCCTATTAAAAAAACCTGATTCCTCTCCAAATAACTCAACAATAAGCAAGCCACTGTCCAAGGGAAATTTTCTGCATTTCAGCCTTCCTCAAATATGTCTAAGGCGGCTTTGAAGAGGGCCATAATCATGTAGAAATTTCATCTATTTTGAGTGCTAGAGAGGAATAAACACAAGAAATGAAGAGCCCTCAGAAAGCTTTTCTAGTGTGCCATCTCTCTCCACTTCTTATTTTGTTGTCTCATGCATTTTCAATACTCATATGACTATCAGTGTTTTTAGGGGCTATTGTGTGTTCTTTTTCCTTGGCTTGTTCAATTCTACCTTTTGCAAGGTTTTTTTGTGTCAGGTTTTTGTTTTGTTGTTGTTTTTTTCCAACTTGAGGAATCACTAAGTTTTCAGTTGGTTTCCCAGCAGAGCTAATTTATAACCTTATGTCGCTTTTTTTTTAATCAGGTGTAGTTACGATGGTGTGGAGGACAAGCGGATAGTGGGCATGCAGCTTGACAAGGCCAGCAGTGCCCTCTACGTCGCCTTCTCCACCTGTGTCATCAAGGTTCCCCTGGGACGTTGCGAGCGTCATGGCAAATGCAAAAAGTATGTGTTTTGTGCTGGCTGTCAGCAGCCTGCCTGCCAGGCCTGGGGAAAGCGGGAGCACTCATGGATGCTATTCTTTCTCAAGGGCCTGCATAGCTTCCAGAGACCCTTACTGTGGATGGGTGAAGGAGAGTGGAGTGTGCACACATCTGGTCCTTGGCTCCAAGTGAGTACGGGCTTTACTTGGCCATGAAGCCCTGTCAGTGGCACCAGGCGGTCATGGACAGAGGTGTTTGAAACATGGGGCTCTTTGGGAAGGAAAAATGTGGGAAATGTTTCTTTCTGCCTTATTTGCATTCACCTCTGAAATGTCTCATAAATGTTTTTGATGTGAACTCTCAGCTGATTGGTAACTGCTGAAGGGGGAGGAAGAAGAAAATGAAAGAGCTGTATTAAGGTCTGTGTGTTGTTGAAAGGAGGGAACTGGATGCGTATGTCTGGACCAGCCCACATTGGAGCCATCACAGCTGATTAAAGAGGCAATAGAATCCAAATTAAATTACTAAAGTTATTTGTCCACTGAAAACAGAACCAGTCCTTCTAATTTACTGTGCATTAGTAAGAGAAATCACTGAGCAGAGTTAGAGTTTAAAGCAGATTCAGAGAAGTGCTGGATCTCCCCTTGCTTAACAGTAGAATTTAATTATTTTATAATTAAAGTCTTTGAAGGTTTGTTTAAATGTGGTTACTAAAGCCTCCTTGCAGGGAGAAGACCCCCTTCAGACCTCTCATTTCTTGGCCAGATCTGACACACCTCATGGTTGCCCACTCCTAAGTACAGTGATGCTCCGTCAAGATAGGGATGTAAGCATAGTACAAACATCACAAGACCTCAGTAGACCCACAGCCAGCCCTTCTTAACTCTGTTTCTGTTTAGATCTTCAGTATATAATGGAGGAGTACCCATGCCTGTGCTTGTGCCATGTTCTTAATTTGCTATTTCAATTAAAATTGTTTGTCTGCTGGGGATGGTATATCTATCTGTATAGGCCTTGCTGCAGGAACATGGTCTATTCCTGACTGGACGCTTGGTAGAATAATGTTAAAATGCACCTGTGTCCCTATGAGGTTTTCTCAGCATTCCCAAGGTGCTTGAGTCTTTTTGCACTTCCATGGAAAGCTGTAGGAGACTTCTATGCCTTGCTCTTAGAAAGTAGCTCCTGTGTTTATCAATAGATCCACAAGATAGAGGCAGAACAGCTTGTGGTAATGCAGCCCAGAGGTGAGCAAGGCACATTCTCCTCTGTCTAGTGCATAGCCCTTAGTAAGGAAGGGCATTATGTTTTGCACTTAGGAAGATCAGCTATGAAGATGTTTAGTGAACTTCTAAACTAGCCAACAGGAGACAGAGATGTTAGGTTCCCTCCTGGAGTAGATGACAGTTGAGCAGGAGTTTTGAGAACATGGAGTTGGCAATGTTGTACCTCAAGGGTAATTATGCTTCAAGGGCAGGATCCTAACTATTCTAAACAAGAGTTTGAGTTGGTGGTGTTTCCAAGGCTCTTGTCATTCACCTCTGACTGTACAAGAACATGGAAGAGCAGCTCCACAAGTTATCCAAAATCACAGGAAGAGGTTAGGAGCAGAAACTGGGCATGTCAGCTAGAGAAGCTTGTGAGTGCTTTTCAGTAGAGACCCTTGGATTCATTGGAAACACAGTACATAAATGATTGCTGAAATGCAGGTGGTCTTCCCCTGGTAGAGTGCCTACACAATGGGTTAGTGTCTTCCTCATATCAAATGAGATACGGTGCACCTTGTCTACTATCTGGACAAGTTAAGGTAGGATCATAATTGCTCCTAATAGTGTCATACATTATAGAGTTAACAGTTTAAAAAATACTAATCTGCTTGCCTTCCTTATCAATAAGGCTTGCAGTGGATTTTAAAGAGTAATAATAAAAAGCCAAGAAATCATTAAGCAATGACAAAGAACTTGAATGTCTGTTGGAATTTTTCAGCCTGTCTGTGGAAGTTCCAGAGAAGTGGCCAATTTCATGGAGAGACTTTGTTTCAGTTGCATGTGATAATTTCTTTCTTGTGGTGCCTGTGACTGTTGTTATTCATATGGTTGTGTTTCTTTCTATTATTTAGACTGGCATTTGAACAGGACATAGAACATGGCAATACAGATGGCCTTGGTGACTGCCAAAGTAAGCAAAGCTTTAAAAACTGTTTAGCATGTGTCACAGCATCCTTCTGAATAACTCAAATCACCATTACCTGTCGGACATTCTTCTGTAGCAGTGTAAGCCACAACAGGGACAGCAACTGAAGCTAAGTTATGCAGCCTTAGAAGAGGAATGGTCTTTTCAATGCATTTATAGAGAATAGCCAGGTTGGTGTAATTTATACAAACACCAGACTTCAAAGCAGTTGTTTAGTGAGAAAACCTCAGTTCCAGAGGATATTTGTTATAGCAACAACATACAGAATTGGGCATTCATTGTCTGTATCACCCATGGTGGTTTGGTTGTTTATGTAGCTGTAAAGAAGTGGCTTGGTTTTGTGGTTTAAACTGTGACTTGGACTACATTCCCATGCAGAACAGGGAGACAGCCAATATATCTTCAGCTATGCATCCAGATAAAGAAATGGTAACTACTTAGTTTGTGAATCATAGTGCATTTTACACACAGGCTGGACAACATAGTAGTTTTAAGTGTCAGGCACAACTGACCCTGCCTAAGAAATGTTAATGGTAAACCTTAGGTATTCACAGCATGAGTTGGAAGCTTAAACACAGTCTTTAAACATTTATGTTTTGCACTGAGGTGCTTGAAAGTGCACAGCTTTCGCTGTGTGCAGAGAAAGCTTGCATGCTGATTTCTCAGCCTTCAGGAATACCAACATCTGTTTTCAGGACAGTTCTCATTCCAAATGTTCTTGCCAAGGTTGGTTTAGTTCTGAGCCCCAAATATTATTTATAAACCTTATGAAATCAAGAATCACATTCTTTTCAGTACAGTTTGCACTGATGTCTGTAGATGCATAAAACTGTTGAAGCTGAGGAAGTAATGTACAATGAGAGTCATTACTTCTGGAATACTGAGCAAAATAATGGAGGGGCGGAGTGTGCTGTGGGATACAGTGCAGGGTGTCTGCTCTGGAGAAAGACAGAGCCTTCTCATGCCTCATGTGTCCCTGTTCAAGAGCCATTTATTACTATGATTACTGTGCTTGAGGGAATACAAGGATTTCAGCCTCTGCATGCTCTCCATCTCAGCTACACCTCTCTCTGCATGTGCCCTAGGATAGGGTTAGGTAGGCTGGCTCAAAGTTATTTTTAAAGAGGTGTACACATAATTCCTCCTGTGCTGCCTGTAAAACAGGTTAGCACCAAAGTCAGGTCAGTTCCCAGCTGGTGCATCTTTGGCCTTTTCAGCGAGTTCTGCTCTCCTTGAACAAATAGGTTAGACAGGAGTCAAATGTGCCTGGTATCAGTTAAATATAAAAGAAAGACAGGAGCAACACATTGTGCTCATGGAGAGAGATCTGCTTCTGTGCAGAGAGCAACAAAGCCCATACCCTTCTTAAATCCCTCATTAGACCTGAATGATGCATTGTACCTAGACACAGGGGTAGATTTCACTCCCTGCCAACCCATCTGACCTTATTACCTCATGTGGTGTTGAGTCATGTGAGTTTTGTCCTCATTGTCCTCACTTGGCCGTCTGCATCACTTGAAGTGCCTTGCATTAGATTTAGGTCTCAATTTTGCAAAGGAACCCATGGCAGGGAGGACACTGGCCTTCCCACTTGGTGTTTCTTGCACAGGACTGGTCAGCTTTCAAAGCCAGATGTTGCTTCCTTCTGTGTCTGAATATTAGCTTTGCCTGGCTCCTTAAGGTACTGATCACATACATATCAATATCAGCTGAAGCATAGAAGGTTGCTAAGAGCAAACTATTAAACAGAAAAAAAATGAGAAAGAAATGATGATTTTTCCCTGTTATTTGTCTTTCAGATTCCTTCGTAGCCCTGAATGGTAAGGAAGTTCTTAGTTTCGTTATTTACTGACAGCAAATCCATTTTGGAGGAATCACTTTTTACTAAACTTTTAAGTATTTTCATATTTTGTTTTATTTAATGTTTCTTCCAATTTATTTTGTTCATAGACATTTCAACTGCTCCACCTGATCATGAAATGTCTTACAACACAGTGTATGGTCAGTTTACAGATGTTTTTTTTTAAATTCTCCCCAGATCCTTGTGTTAGCTAGTAGTTCCTGTACTCAAATAGCCATTAACCTTCTTTACTTGTATTGTCTTGTTTTTGAGGGCCTGATTCACTAATCACAACTAGGATTAAGTCATACCTCTTGATTTTGAGTGCCTCTTTTCTAGTCCTCAAAACTGTCTCCATTGAATTAAAGTCAGATAAAATGCCATGCTATTTTAGTGGCATGCCAGCAGACATGATTAAGAGCATGCTTCATCAGAACACTCAGACAAAGGAACACTTGTGTACAGTGATGCATCTTATCTGTTCACCAGGAAAAACACGCTAGCAGCTCCCATCCCACTCATGAGTCGTCCAGGCTGGTGTCATGACTGCTACAGCAGCCAGTCAAAGTTACCTTAGGGAAAGGAGCAGAACTGTCCCTGGGTAAAAGAAAAATCTCTCATAAGGAAAATTAACTTGTTAGCTGTGTCAGTTGAGACTGGGTTATGCCTTGATTCCTGGAAGTTCCTGTCACTTCTGGAGTGAGTCATTTATGGTTCCATGCATGCAGTATCTTAATGTCTGAATGGTGCCTGGTCTGAAAAAAACCCACAACAAACAAACAAAAAACACCACAAAGAAAAAGATCACATAGCAAATTAAATTACCTGATCTGAAGACGAGCATTTCAGCAAAGCTAGAGTAGCAGTTTCCCATGAGGCAGCTGTTAATCCGTGCTTACAGTACTTTCCATCACTTAGTTCTGTGTATTTGGAAGTGGATTACACTGGTACTTGGAGTGCAGAATAAATGTGTTTGTGAGGAATTATTGCAGAATAAATAATCACGTGAAATCCAAACCTAGACATATATTGCAACACTTTCTCTTTACAGACATCCTGAACAAAGACAAGTACTCACTAGCCAAGAGGATGTGCAGTATTACTACTAGGGAAGTCAGTGGCAAATTTCCATGTGGGCTTGTGAAGTTGTTTTCAGTCTGTGCCAGACTAGCAGTTCATCAGAGCTAGGGTAAATTCACCATATGTTTGGTTGAATGTAGCAAGAGGTAGGTTAGTATACAGTTCTGATGAACGTTTAATTGATCCCTTCTTTGTATGCCTGCAAAATATGTAGTTACAAAGCAGAACCAATGACAGCTCAGTACAGCAGAATATAAATAACTGGAGGCACAGTAATACTGTTCAACATTTGTAAAAATAAAATCAAATTCCCTATGTTGCTTATTACCAGGAAATGGAAAATGTGCAGGTGAAACTTGTTTGAAAGTATAATAATGAAAACCAGTGCAGGGACTATACAAAATCAAAGACAAGTTGAGACTTCGTAATATATATAAAGACTCATGTTTTCATTTGTATACACAGCCTGTACTTCCTTTCATTTGAAAATTGTTATATTTCCAATGCACAGAATAGTAATTAAAGAACAGTAATAATAAAATTCATCCTGCTGGATATAAAGAAAAAGAAAATGGCCTTGGGCATAGTGCTGATGTGGCAGAAATATCCTAAGTTTCCTACTTAAAAGTGTATTTGTAGGCTGCGTAGTTACAGCTGTGAGGCCATGATTCTGGATCCCATCAGCCACCACAGTAGTCAGGACATCAGCAAAAGCTGATACTTTAATCTAAAATAGGACAAGAAAGCAAAAAGAATGGTTCAGGTGAGCAGCAGAGTGAAAAAGCCGCAGTCCCAGGGAATACAGGCTACAAAAGTGGTTCATTCTACTGTCCTGGCATGTCAGGCCCAAAGACAGATTCCATTAATTAACCCAGCTTTTCAAAAAGGACCCTGCTGCCAGATGCCATGGGGAAGTACTGAGCCAACATTAACATTGGTTTCCATTCATGGTTTTGTTGACCGTCCTCAGGAACATCCTGACAAAATAGTCCTAGGCAAGCCAGCTCTTCCTTTCAATCGTTTAGTTGAAATACCCATTCTAATATACCCAGTGTTTCTTTTCTTTTTCTACCATAGCAAAATGCAAAAGGAAATTTGCTAGTTACCGTGTAAAAAGTTCCAGCATCAGGTAGTAACATAGTAAACATGCTCGTGTTAGTTAACTGTAGTGACTGCTGAGTATTTTTTTGTTCTTGAGAAAAACAAAATTTTATACATGGTATATTTTAGTGTTATTGAGTACTGCTAAATGCTTAATTAAATGGTTATTTCTTAATTTATTGAATCTCAGAACACTGGGATATACCAGAATGAGAACCTGGTCAATGCTTAAGGTGCTTTTGGATCCAGTGGGCTAAATATACCCAAAGGTTTCTGAAACTCCAGTTGCACAAGTAGTCTTAAGGCCTGATTCCCTTGATTTGCTCCAGGATAAATCAGATCACTTCAATGAAGTTCCTGCCAATTTGGAACAGCATGAATGAAAGGAGAACCAAGCCCTTAATTTTAGATTTCTTGGCATCAGACTCCTCTTCAGTTTGGCAGATGAGCTCTGTTTTCTGGGGCAGGCTTATGTGATCAGTTGTAAACAAGTAAAATGCAAAGTCCACACAGGTGACTGTTGAGGTGCATCCCTTTGACACCCAAGAAGAAGGAAGCAGGTAGAAGGTCTGGCTGCAGAAGGTCAGACAGAACTGAAGCAAGAACTACATATTCAAACAAAGAGATTAGTTAAATTCCTCTGCAAAATTGTAAGCAGCTTCAATTACCTTTGGAGACATCAGTTCTTAGTGAATTGGGCCCTTGTTTTACCCCTTAACCATAGTATTTTCTACCTCTGTAGTATTGATTTAGCCTTTCCCTCTAATTGTCTAATTAGGTTGCTATAGGTGTTAATAAGATAGTGTGCAGACATCTTAACCTCTGAGATCCTAATGACTTGTGCATATTAGAGCAACTATCAAATATGTATTGAATCACTGTCTTTGTTTTAAACCCCAAAAAAACCTCCTTACACTTTACAAGTGCACTTCAGAATGAGCTGTAGTTTCCAAAGTGCAGCCCTTCTGAATCATTACCCAGGCCCATAGACAACTGAGTGCTTTTACTCTCCTTCTTTATTTGATTACAGCACTTCAAATGAAAAGTTTTTGCAAATAATGGAAACACCTAAACCAGACTTGTTTTAGTGTGTCTATTTTGTTTTTTACATGTTTGCTTTAAACAAATTTGGAAAGCATTCTATCCACACTTTTTTATATGGATTGTTTTAAAACAAAGGCAGTATTGATTTTCTTAGATGTTTAGGTATTAACTGATATTAACGTAGAGATAGTAGCCACATCTCAGGTATGCTAAAGCCTCTTTAAATTGCAGTAAAGCCTATTTACACAGCCAGAGTGATAAAAATGGTGTAATGGGAAAAAAAAAACAAAACGGCCCACTACGTGTTGCAAAATATATAGCACATTGTAAAGGTTTAATAATGACTATGTGTAAGAGGGCCAGGAGGGGTTTGCCCACCACTTCAGTCTTTACGCAGTTTATGAAAGAAACTTAACTAGCTCATACGTTTGTGGTGGCACTCTGCTCAGAGGTGAAGTTCACCAAGAGGGACTGGCTGTTCAGGCGCTTCTGGGACACAGCAATACTGCTTATGGGAGCAGCCACTGCCCAATCGCACATGTTTGCAGAATACAGCCCCAAGTGGGACAGGCTGTTAGGGTCTAATCTGCTCCTGCCCTCCTTCCTCAAAGTCAAAAGGAAGAAAGTTTGTCTCAGTTACATGTGGAAGGTTGTTTCTCAGTGTGTACTAGACTTAACACATTAGTAACGGAGCGAAGAGACTGATTTCTTGTGTTTGTGTAAAACCCTTCTTTACCTAATGACCATCTGGTACACATTAATATCTTTACAAAGCCTTAGCTTTCCATTGCAAAGAGGTTCTCTATGTATTTGCAGCATATGGTTCAGGAAATCTTTTTTCGGAGAATGTGTCCCTTAGGCATATATTTCCTTTAGATTACTGTATTAAGAAATGTTTTTCTTTAACCATACTTAAGGCTTTTCCTTAAAATTTCCCCTTTAAGCACACCTAAGGTGAGAGTGTCTGGACAGAGATATGGGCCTATAAATGCATATCAAACATAGGCATAAAATATGATTGCTACTTGGCAAAATCTTTTCTCTTTTACCTCCTTATCAAGCTATGACTAATTGCTTTCTTATGTTGAGTGCAGCACTATTTGTACGCTGACCAAATATTGCACACATTATTGCAGTTGCTGAATGGGGTATTAACTTGGAGGTTGGAGCCTGAAACCCCATGAATGCTGGCACTGTGGTTTAGTGCTTACTGAAAAAAAGCTACAGAAATTTCTTAACTTCCATTTTCTACCCTGTTCTCTGTCCCTTTATTTCTCTTATTTCTTATGGATGAGCACAGGAGGTGACAGACATGAAATGGTTTAGGGGTGAAAATTTTCACGCTCCAGCATATCCTTGTTTCAGGACGGCACATGTTTTCAGTCACTGGACCTCTACCTGTCCTTTTGGAAACAGGCAGCCCTGCTGCAGGACTGCTGTGGAGCAGGCAGCATGTTTCAGACTCCATCATCATCTAACTGTATCTTACCAATGCTCCCAGCCATCCTGTGGCTTATGAAAACCTTTTAGAAGCAGATAATGTTTGGCTCCTCTTTTCTATTTGAGTGACATTAAGAGCTCTGTTGTCAACAAAATAAAGCTTCTAATTCCTCATGTTAAAGAAAGATGGCTGGGGGAAACCGCACTTCCTATCATGAGAGGTAAAAAAATAATGGTGCCCATGTCAGTGCCCCTCAGCCTGAGGTCTAAAGCTAAGTGATTAGAAGTAGTAGCTGAAGGTTGGCTTCGTTAGTGAGAACACTGTGAATCTAACCAGTTTTCCTTGCTAATCGTACCAGTCACAGAAGTTAGTTTTGTCCATGTCCTATGCAAAACATAGTCCAAAGTGCAGCCATATATAATCCTGCACAGTAAATCAAAAGGGCTCTTCGAAAATATATGGAGGAGCACAGACATTTTCTTCCTCTGTAAGATGATTAATATTCAGCATTTTACTTGTTTAAATCATAGCAGCATCTTAAAAAAAGCAGCAGCTTTTTAGCTGACTTCATCAGTAGTTCAACCCCATGAAGCTGGTGAAAAGGCTGGATAAAACTGAATGCATGGGCTGCATCAAAAACCTTGGGAGCATTGGTGGCCAACATTTAGATTTTTGATTGCTAGAGTTAAATTGGGGTTCATCAGCTCTCTGTGCTGCGAAGAGCTGAGGCTGGGTGGCTTTAGAAGCTATCTAAAGCAGCCTTTTTGAGTTACAGCTTCCAAAAGCTTTATGTTTATCCAGTGGCTATTTAAAACAGCATAGAGGAGCACAATCTCTACCTGCCCAGCTCTTTGCCCTCATTGTGAGGCTCTAGATTTGGGCTCCTGAGGTTGTTCTATCTCTGCCTCAGTGAGTCTCAAATTATTTTTCTGAGCAGTGAAATAACATCAAGGGAAGGAGCAGTCACAGTGTCCCTGCTAGGGCAGTCTGTAGCTTGGTGATTGGACTCCTTTCCAAGGGAGACTCAAATCTAAGAAAGGAAAATTAAATTACAGAGCTGTTAAAAAGGAGGCAGGCGAAGGGAGAGCTGCTGTCAGTCCATTCAGCAGTATCTGAAGAGAAAGCGTTATCTGCCGTTCTGTCTGTAAATAATCTAGTTCTGTTAGTTTATGTTTGAGCATGTTTCAAAAATCCCTGTTTTGATGAGCTCTTTCATGCAAATACTGTTACTTAGTGTCAAATTAACCAGGCCCAGAACCAGTTATGTTCAGTCCTGTTGAAAGTAACTGTTTTGTTGTGTGTGCTGAAAGGGAACGTTCAGAGATGTGTGAGGTTTTAAGGTCAAAACATTATGGTGTGCATGGAGTGTCAGTGCCCCCTCACCCACAGCAACAGAGCACCCCAAGCCACTGGGAAATCCAGATTGGAGCCATCTTTCAGAGACCGTAGACTCCAAGCACTTGGAGCATTTTGGGTGCTGATGTACTTCTTAGGATCTAGCTGGAAAGGATGTATGAATACACAAACATGTCTCTGCCCCAGCGAAACTGCTGTTAAAACTGTATGGTGTCTCCAGCAGGGCATGTCCTGTGCACATGCTCTTTTTCAGGGTGTATTTGATCAGTGAGAAGCTCACCAGCTTTATTCAGGACAACAGTAGCAATGTCTGGAGCGGCTGTAGTGGAAAAAGGGTTTGTGAGACCTCTGTCCTAAGAGGAGGCTGTGGCAACAGCAGCTGGAGTTGTGGGTCCTTGGGCAGATCCACATAATAAGGCATTGTCTTCACTTTCACTCTGAGCAGAAGTGATGTTCAGTTTCATGCTCATCTCAGAGCCAGTCTGGACCTTCAGCACAGACAGGACTGATGGTGAGGGTGCAGGCGGCTGTGGGTGGTTGATGGGCACTGCACATTTCCCATCAGGGGGGCAATGCTGTCATGCCAGCATGCTGGTGCTAGACAGGCCTTCATTCCTCCAGGACCATGGGGTAGAGAGCCACTGACATCACCATTTTACAGTTTTGTTGGCATTTCCCTTCAGTTTTGGCCAAATTAGGAGTTGTTCTGTTTAAAATTGCTTTTAAAATTGCTATTTAATGAAGCCAGTACCAGCCAGCATGGACTGACACTTCATTGTTGGTCAGGCGTGTGTACTGAATCCATCCAAAGGATGCTTGACTCAGATGAGGTGTACTCATTCTCTTCCACACACGTTTAGCTCTGTTGAGTAAAAGCACACAACCGTGAACTCAGTGGCAGGCCAATGCATGTGTGCACCACTTAGCACCCTCTGCCAGACTGAGATCAAATCCCATTTGCTTGGGGCAGCACTTTGCAGGGCTTTTGAAATGTTGCTCAGCCTAAGACAAGATGTCCTGTCACAGAAGAAAAGCAGTGCGTACATTCCTGAGGGTGGTGAGGTAGCTGGTAAGTGACTAATGAGACTTGTCTTCCCTACCTGTATTTATAATATGAACAGGACACTCCAGTTCCTTAGTCCCAAGCACCACCACTTCTGACTCTCGCGCTCGACAGGGTTATGATGCTAGGGGACGCATGCTGGATTGGAAGGATCCGCTCGGTTCATCTGAAAATACAGATCCATATGTGGCAGTTTCATCCCATAATCATCAAGACAAGAAGGGTAAGGCCTTGGAAATGACATTCTGTGGTGAGGAGGGAGGGGGTGGAGGACTAAAGTGTAACTGCTTCCAGCTGGCTCAGAGTAACATGTAATAAAACTCCTGTGCTATAATTAAAAGCTTATTGTAAAGCCTGAAACTTAAACAGCCAATCTCAGACTCAGCCCTAGATAATTCACTGCCTGAGGAAACCACACAAAACAAACAGAAGCATATGCCTTTGCAGTGTGTGTTTTGCATGTGTAAGGGAAGGAGGGAAATAGTGGGGATTTAGCGCTCTTTAAGCTTGATCTCCCCCCCATTGTCTGGCAGAGGTAGATCCTCAGCTTCCTATTGTTCTTGAGGGTGCACTTTTATATTGCCTTGTTGTCTGAATTCCCAGGGCAGCACAGCAGATCTCAGTTTTCGTCTCTTGAGGACAGAGAGAGATACTAAATGTCTGCTTTAGTTTAACCATTGCAGGAAAAGTGAGGCCTGAGCATCAAGCACCTTTGAGAATGGGGATTGAGGAGGTCATTATCGTATTTTGAAAGATACAGAGGTGACTGCTGGTGGAGAGAGATTCTCTGTTGCATTTTTAAAGCACTGAAGAGTTAGGACTCAGGAGTGGTTTCACAGTATTCAGCCCTGTGCTGAAGCACTGTTGGGTCTAATACAAGTGACATCCCTCTCATTTGGCTTCCAGTCCCCGGTAGCTATACATACAGAAAATTAGACAGAATTATCTAAATTTGCCACTTGAGCGTGCTTAGAGAAGGCGAAGCTTTTTTCCACTGCAAGGATGATGGTGGCCCCTCATTTCAGCTTGGCCTTCCATTGTTCTCCAAGCTCCTTTTAATCTCAGAGTCTCACAGTCCTTTTAAGTCTCAGAGTTTACAATGGCTCCTTTGTAAATAGGGGACTTAGGTTCAAGTAGCTCCACTGACTAGAGAGATCCGAGTCCTTGTTATTCTTCTCCAGGGTGTTCTTAGATCGTTTCTTTCAATCTCTTCTCTGTTGAAGATGTTTCACTCTGTGTGGACTAATTAAGTACTCAGTGGGCCAGGAGGAGGATGGGTATGAGCAAAACTCACTTGCTGAGTGGTTAGGGCACACACCAGGGGCAAGAACACACAAGAGCTTCTGTTCTTTCTGCTATGAATACTTGATATAAAACACTTAAAATATTAATTGTAATGTGGATTCCAGTCTCTATTGTTCATGCATTTTATATGAAAAACTCATTAGACAAAAGCATCAGCTGTTCCTGGAGAAGCTACTGACATGCCAGACCTGCTGCTTTGCATTGTCTACCCAAACTGTTAGGTTACTAAATCATACTCCATCCCCTCCATCTGACCCAGAGAATCTTGAGTTCTGTGCATTGGCTGTGGAGACTTTCATTCAGAACCCAGACTGTGAACTCAGCACCTGTTATTCACAGCAGCCCTAGCCACAGTGCCTCCCACAGTCCTGGGATATCCTGGATTTCTCACTGAACTCCCCAGGATTGACTTCAAAGAACCTTCATGGTTGCTAGCCATGAAGGCAGTGGCTATCACCTGGCTGGCCCTGAAAAGATGAAGCTTGAAGTGTTTTTCCGGTTGAGGAGGATGGTCAAATTAGGCAGGAGATGCAGAAAAATTTCCTGAGATGCCATGACAACAATTAATCTAGTAGGCTTGGCTTATAGACTTGAGGGCAGGAGGTGGAATATGAAGATTTTAATTCTGTCAGGTAGAGGTTGCAAACTTGTCTGCCACCATCCAGCAAGGAGCTTTTCCTGTAAAAAAAGGGGAAAATGGCCATTTACTGTTGTACTTTCAGCTGAGTTTTAGAAGTAGGCTTGTTCAAACAGTATTTTTCAGAGCTTGATCCCATAGTCATTCTCAGATAATAGCTGCAAATCTAAGCAAAAAAAGTGCATTTCTGGAACGTGATCTGGCTTGCATGTGAGTTAAACACAGAGCTCCTATGCACCTGGCAGACACGTGGGCTGCTGAGTCTCAGTAGAGGAAGAATTTCAGGCATCTGCCAATACTTGGACTCAAAACCGTAACTTAGGGTGCAAGGGACTGAGGGTTCTGAAGATGAAAACTAAGATTCCTAATTCCTGCTTAAGCTGACTTGGAGATATCAATCTCATTTTTGTCATTACTCAGCTCTTGCTCTTATGTTGTAGAAGGGCAATTCAGAAAAAGTGATTTTTGGGTATCTTGTATGCTGAGGAGCAAAGGCAGATAAGCTTGCATGCGCTTCTAAGGATGCCATGTGATCGACCTAACACTCTTCTTCCCTCTCATCAATAAATCAGTGATACTGTTGCCAGCCAAAATATAAGGTTTTTTTGCTTTTCTGTCCAGTCAGTTGGTAACATCTGGTATTCAACATGCTTGATGTTAGAAGACATTTCTTAGAAAGTCCAGTGTTCCTTCTGAAAGTAAGCGGTATTTTTCTCTCCTGCACCCTGAGAGATGGGAATGTCATTAAACATCTAATGAGAAAGGAAAAGGTCCTTTAACCCAGCTCTTCTGCTGGCATCAGACAGGGGAGCAGTGTCAGAAACCACCAATAGTGGAAGATCTGGCTCTTTATGTACCCAGAAGATACAGAGACATGGATGCATTTTAATGGCACTATTTGTTATGTGTGGGTCCCTACTTTACAAACCTTTTGTGAAGCAATGTTCGATAGATGGAAAGCTAGCTCTTAAAAGCATCTCGTATGCCAGTAGCAGCTTCCAGAAGAGTATGCAGTGAAAATTTTAATAAATGTGTAGCTGTTGGATTCTAATCATTTCCGTTTCAATTCACTGACTAAGGAGGTGGCTTACATTCAATAGTTCCCTCCCCAGGGAGGCTCTCTTACCAAAGAGCCCTATTAGCACTTGACAGGGTAATTTAAATATCATGCATTCTTTGATGCCTAATTCTAAATATTGACAAAGCTGGAAGCAGTCTACATGCAATCAAAACAATGGCGGCAGAGGTGACCGCATGGTTGTTTACCATTACCATCTACTTCTGTGTTGTTACTCCTTACCTTGCACAGTCAAAGCCGGTTGGCTCCAAAATGCTATTGATTTGTTGTTTTAAAAGGGCAAAGGAAGGAGTTCTTACACAAAATTAAATCAGAAGATGTTATGCTTACTATCCCTCTATCAAGATTTTATTTACACTTTTGCTGTAATTTCTTTTACTTCCACACATTCACAGAGAAAAAAAAAAACAAACATTTTTTAAAGCACATTTTCCCTTTCTTTTGCAAGATGCTTTGTGTTGTTCTTCATTGGTTGTGTCTAATCCTTTGAACAGTGTTTTCTTTCTTTTCCTATGCTTACAACTTCTTACTCGTTGTACTAATTGTAAAGAATCCACTCAACTGCTTTCTTTTTGGTTACATGGATGCTTTGATGATGTCACATCCATCCATATGCTTCACTTTTAATTCAGTGCAGGCATCTTGGGGAATATCTGTGGGGGTGTGAAGAGGGGGTTCTTTAAAAGGGTTGACTCATGGGAATGTGACATTTGTGTGCCACAGCTTTACTAGCTAAATATACTCTGAGATTGTTGTTTCTGAGCTACATCAAATTTCCTGCCAAAATGAAAATGTGTAGTGCAACCCATAGAGTGGCAACTATGCGTTACCATCCAAGTGGCATTTTCTTTTTGGCCATTAAGGAATCTACCCTTCCTATTGCAGAACAACAACAACAAAAAAATCAGCTCTGATTGGGCAAACTGCACCCCTCTTTCCACTTTTCCCCAGGAAAAAAAAAAAACAAAAAAAATAAACCACCCCATATCCTAGAGTTTGTTTACATTTTGCTTCTTCTCTTTCTGTGTTTTAATGTTAATTTATGTGTTTCTCACCCTTTTCAAGCCAGTTTCCCTAACCTTGCCATCTAACCTTCCCCCCCTGCTGCCATTGTACTTGGTCTCCCTCCCTCCACAGTCGTGAAGCTCCTCCTGAGCACTCCAAGGCTTTACCCTCTACACCCCAGTGGTGCTGTAGTGTCTCTCTGTAGTCGTCCTACTAACAAGGGGGGGAGTAGACATGTACCACTCATAGAGAAGCTTATCTGGAGAAAACAGTGATTTTCTTCAGGAGTAGCTGGACTTGCTCCTCATTACCCTGCTGCCCTTCTCTGCTGCCTCCTGTCCTTTCTGCCTCCCTTCAAGAAGCGCCTCACGCTTTTCAAGTCCTGGGCTCATTAGCACAAATGCTGCCAACTACTCAGTTTTCACACTTCAGGCTCCCTAAATGCCTGGAGCTTGCTTTTTAATCACAGCGTTGATAAAGTGGCTGCAAATTCAGCTTATGATTTTGTGGTTTTGATACAGCTTCTTCGCAGCATTCAGGTGGACGGGGCTGAGCAGGGCACTGAATGACAAAAGTGTAGCATTGCTATCAGCATGCTTAATGTTTGTATTCTTACTTGTCTCAAAACTCATTAAGACTATGAGGTGGTATCTCCTCTCCTAGCAAGCCTTTTGTCAATATCCGAGTAACAATGGTAAAAAGCTGATTAGAAGCGGGCTGTGATGGGCACTGGTTACAGAGTTAAGAGATGTTGGTGTGTTTGGATCTCAAGAATGCTCCTGTAAATAAAGTGTCTGATAGAACTTTATTTCTAGATTGTAGAATCTATATTAGTAGTAGTAGTAGTAATAACTGCAACCCTTCCTCTAGTAACAATTAGACATCATTAGCAACGTCTCTATTTGGAGAGGATTGTGCTGTTGGGGAGCCCAAGGGCTTTTCATTTCAAAACTTGACTCCAGAAGGTTTTTCGTATTGTACACAAGTGGCAGCGTTACTAAATTTTACTGTGATTATTGCTACTTGAAAGATTTGCTGAGTGCTGACAATGCTTGTCTCCAGAGAGTTTGCAAATGTTCAGGCAGATTCTGCTGCATTGAGACAGAATTATATGAAACTTCAGGTACAGTTATGATAAAAAATGTAAAGTGCTGATTTAGCAAGATATTTTACAAGTAGATGTGGAAGAAGACAAGAA